ATTTTTTTCTTTCTCTTATCCTCAAGCGAGGTTTTTATTTCCATAATAGTAATACATTTGTACATTAATAACTCAATAATTGAGTGAAACCTAACATCGGCTAAAGATTAAAGTACATTCAACAATTCTTCCAGCTAGTATTATTTTCTTTGCTAACACATTAATATCTTACAAAAATATCTTAGCAACGACTTGAATTAAAAAAAACAAAGTATGTGGGTAGTAAACAGAACCATTAACAATCTTCTTAACGTAACATTTATAAATTGCATATTGCGCATAATTTAAAATAATATTCAGAAGTGAATATTTCTTGTTTCCAATATCCTTACCTACAACTATTATCTTCTGGTCTATTTGTATTTCTATTTGGAATAGATTAAATATCAAATTACATAATATTTTCCAAAACAAAGTCACATCCTTGCAATATAACATAAAATGAAAAGTTGAGTCAACTTGTCCACAAGAGTTGCATAAATTATTATTAACAATTTGCCATTTATATAAGTTTTCTTTTGATGCAATAAACCTATGAATCATCTTGAAATTAAATTGTTTAACTTTATTATTACGAATTTGCTTTAATTTAAATAAAAATACATCCTTCCAAACAAAGTCATTATCCAAATCTAAAAAGAAATTCCAAATGTAAATGATATTTGGTTCTTTTGACTTTTTACGTACTAACGAACGATAGTAATCTTTCACTTTCATAACAAAAACATTCACTTTATCCCCTGTTTCTATTTCTATCATATTCGAAATATCACATTCTTGTTCAAAATCATAGCTTAATCTATCCAATCAACACTGTGGAAATGCTTTCTTTAATTTTGTATATTTAAAATCAAATAAGAGCTGTTGTGCTTTCACTTTTGTATTTAGTATTGTAGAATCATTCCAAATACCATTTGTAATCAAATTATGACATTTCAATACACCGGCCTCTTTCCATTCTCGATAAAACAGTATTTTTTTCTTAAAGGTAATGTTACTATTTTTCCAAATAATTTCATTTGGAATATTTCTTACTTTAAACATATCAATGAATTTTAGTTCTGACCAAGTACAAAAGAGATCTACATAGAATTCTGGCAAATTATGTTTAGAGCATAATAAATTCATATCCTTTATGTTACAATTGAAATGTAAACATAGTGGCAAACCCCCTATTTTGTCGGACCAGTATCTAAACATATTTTTCCAATAACAGCCATTATCATTAAAAAAACGAGATATCCATGCCAAACGAACTGAAGATATTTTACTAGCAATATCAATCATATTCAATCCACCATTTTCAATAACACTTATAATTACATTACGTTTAATTTTATCTTTTTTGGAGTTCCATAAGAAACAAAATAATAGTCTGTTCAATATCTGTGAAATATGTTTCGGTACTGGTATAACAGTTGCGGTATATACAATTTGTGACGCCGCTAACATTTTCAAAACAACAATTCTGCCATAAAAAGTAAGATCTCTCATTTTCCACATATTTAATACATTTCGATTTTTATCTATTTTTACATTCCAGTTTAAATCTTGTAACAATTTCTTATTTTCGCCTACATATACTCCTAGATATTTTACAGGTTGATCAGTATATATAAATGACATTATCATGAACAAAATTATCTACAGTATTCAGTTTCATAACTTCTGTCTTATTCCAATTTATTTTCGGACCTGCATAGTCTCCAAAATCATTAATTTAATTCATAATATATTGTATATCATTAAAAGATTCCACAAATAATGTTGTGTCATCTGCATATTGGGAAATTTTTAAACTATCAATACCTAAATCAACACTGAATATATCAATCCCTTTAATGTTTTTATTTTGTCTTATTTTGCATGCTAATATTTCCACTACTATGTTAAAAAGTAATGCCGATAATGGGCAACCCTGGCCAACTCCTCTCCCAATAAGTAACTTTTCTGAAATCCATCCATTATTCATTACACGACCGATGGCGTCAGTATAAAAGGTCTTTATCCAGGATATAAAAGATTCTTTAAAATTGAATTTACGTAGTACATGAAATAGGAAAAAATGAGGCATTGTCGAATGCTTTTTTAAAATCCAAAAAGAATATAATTCCCGAACTATTGGATGTCTTTAAATAGTCGATTACATCTTGTACTAATCGTATGTTTTCTGCTGCGGATCTTTTCTTTATAAAAACCTCTTTGATCAGTTGAAATGATACTTGATAAAACACGTTGAAGTCTTTTAGACAGTACTCTTGCCGCAATTTTATAATCATTATTTAATAACGAAATTGGTCTCCAGTTGTCTAAATAACCCCTATCCCCCTTCTTGAATAACAACGTAATAAGACCCTGCCTTTGGGAAGAAGATAATTTTTGTTTGTGATACCCCTCATTTAAGCATGCAATAACCAAATCTTTAATTTCTAATCAAAAAACCATGTAGAACTCAACACTAAGACCATCACTTCCAGGGGCTTTGTTATTACCCATACATTGCAATGCGTCTTTACATTCCTTTTCACTTAGCAACCCTTCACCCTTCGATGCCTCTTCATCGGTCAGAGTACTAATAATTCAATCTTTAAAATAGTTATCAACATGAACATTCGTGCATTCCTTAACATACACTTTTTCAAAATATTTATGAATTTCCTGTAAAACCTTTTCATCATCCTTAATAGTTTTTCCATTGACATATAAACTTTCTATTTCTTTTTTCTGCCTATTGCGCTTTTCCAACTGTAAAAAATATTTGCTTGCCTTCTCACCCTTTTCAATCCATTTTGACCACGATCTTACAAACGCCCCTTTACATTTATGTGTATAATATTTATCTATTTTCTTCTGTGCTTCCTTCATCTTACTAATAACATCTTCATTTGGATCCCTATCGAACTGTTCACTCAAGGTATCATATTCCTTTTTAAGTTTATTAAAAGCATTTTTTTTAACATCATATTTTTGTTTACAGTATGACATTGTAAATTCTTTTATCTTAACTTTACATATTTTTCCATTTGTCCTGTGGTGAAAATTGTATGTATTCCAATTTAATTTCTTTAATCAAATTACGTACACCAGTCTGATACTTTGTATCAACTAAGATATTATTATTTATCTTCCAAAAACCTTTGCCTCTCTTTACAATTTTCAATTTCAATTTCAAAGAAATAGCATTATGGTCACGCTTTAAAGCCGGACGGATGTCCGAAGAATGAACTAAATGGCAAACCTTCTTTGATATTAACCAATAATCTAACCTAGAAAATAAAGAGAGAGACACCTGCTTCCATGTAAATTGTCTCTTGTCTGGATATAAATGTCTCCAAATATCTACCAAATTGTGATCTTTTTTAAACTTCTTAAAATAAAACTTCGGAACATTAGCAGAAGAGATACCACGTGTATCCATTTCTTGACTTTGAACACAGTTCGAGTCCCCTCCTGCTACCAAAATATCATTATCTTCTTTAACCGTATTTAACCAATTTAAAAGCATTTTATAAAAAGGCTCTTTTTCCATTTTTTTTGTAGGAGCATAAACATTCAAAACAAAGTAGCATATTCCATTGATGCTCAAACGAGCAGCTACAATTCTTCCGTCACTTTTATTAAAAGCACGTATTAAATCAATTTTCGGGTCTCTGTTAAGTAAAATTGCAACACCCTTCGAATGATTGGTTCCGTTATTAAACAAACATGTACCAGTCCACTCATTACAAATATTCCTTTGTAGGTCGTGAGACCAAAACGTTTCTTGCAAAAAAAACAATATCTTGATGATGGTCTAACAGGTGCAGCCTTTTATATCCCAAAATTTAAGATAAGTAAAGGTTATAGAATAACCCCAGTAAATATTATGACTACTGAACTGACAGCAATCATCCTAGCATTACAATGGATAGAGGACTATCTCCCAGTTTCTGTGGTAATATTATCAGATTCCATATCAGCCTTGCAGGCTATTAAAAACATGGACAAATCTAGTTTAGTTATAGAAATATCGGAGAAATTGACACAATTAAGCGTTTTTGGTATAGACATACAGTTTGAGTAGATACCTGCACATTGTGACCTACTGGGAAACGAAAGAGCCGACAGTTTGGCTAAAAATGCAACACAAAAAGAACACATAGATGTAACTGTACTACGGAATAGGTCTGAATTAACTAACCACATGCGTCATTTTTATCAGCATTTATGGCAAAATCAGTGGGAAACAATAGACAAAGGTAGATTCTTATTTCAGATCCATCCATATATAACGAGACTTATTAACTTATCTGGTTTTTGTAGAAAAGATGAAAGATTATTACATCAAATGAGAATAGGAAAATGCAAATTAAACTTTTACAAATTCAGCATTAATAAACATGAAAATGGCCTTTGTGAATTTTGTCATGAAACTGAAACAATCGAACATTATTTATTGGTGTGTAAGAAATATGTACGAGAGAGGAAAAGGTTGTTTTCTCGGTTGAAAATTAAAGATAAGAGTTTAAAGAATTTACTGGAGAATGAATATCATCTGCACACTCTGTTGGCTTTCATAAAAGCTACATGTAGATACCAATCAGTATAGCTAACGAGTTATAAGTAACTCTCCTGGAGAGGAAGGGAAGGGAAAGTATAGTTTAGCACTGCACAGTTAACCCCTATTATTAATAAAATACTCGCACCCTGTTCATGGTCGACACCTACAATTATTGCCCGCACCATCGAATAAACGGAAGCTGCACAGTACATGATACCCACTGAAGAGGAAAAGAAACAGCGTCATCTAATCATCAGTGATGAACAACTAAAAAGACAACAGCACAGCCAGGCAGAAATAATCTTTTTAGATTGGTCAGCCTTAAATCCCAACAACAACAACAACAACAAATTTGTCCGAGGATGTATTTGGGTCAGGGTCATACTCTAGCAATTTCGTATCATACAGTCGAAACTCTTCACCAACAGGGCGTTTTCCACCATGCTCACACTGCACCCCTTTATGCAGAAGATGGTGTTACGGAAGTAGTAGTCAAGTCCATGATCGACTCCCTGGATCTATCTATTCCTCGACACATCAAAAGATCCTTGATGGCGCGACGAAAGTTTGGAAGACAAAGCGAGTAGATGACGGGATTGGTCGTGGCCGCGTTGAGGAAAGCGATCTGAAGAGAGATTCGATAGAAAGCAGTAGAGGGGTAGTCCCTTGGGAGAACCCTCAGATGGTAAAGCAAGATGCCAAGTTGATCGGGAGTCCAGAGGAGCATAAATGAGACGCAGATAGAGAAGAACATGATGGTCAGACGGCGTTTCAGAAGCTGGAGCCGTGTCGACTCGTTCCTTGTTCGCTGTCCGCTCGATCCTCCACCGTCAATCGATGTATGACGACTAAGCTCGCACATTGTCCTTATGCTGGTGTATGTTATGATGCAGAACGGCGCAAGGAACTCGATAAGAAATAGCAAACTGCCGTAGACTGCCCGAGAGTGTTCGGAAGGGTACTGTGTGATGCAATTGCCGCAGTCATCGACAACGCGGAATGTCATCTGAGGAAGTCGGATGATCAGAGGACAGATCCATATGGCACCAATAGCATACTTGACGTAATTGTTATGAACCCAGACTTTGTAGAAGAAGGGGTACACTACGGCCCAGAACCGTTCGATGGCGATTGTTGTAAGGGTATAGACAGATGCCCTGAAGGACACCCATAACATGTACCGAGATCCAATAATATGACAGTATAGATTGCCTGCGGCGTTGTTGGGGACGTTCCCAAACCTAGGAAATGGCAGCAGGAAAATTGCTGTTAGCAAATCTGCAGTGGCTAAACAGATAGTGAGGCGGTTTGTTGGTGTAGCCCTTGCATCCTCCTGCCCGTTTGCCAGACGACGCTGTATGTAGATAACGAAGGCATTCCCAATTATGCCAATAAACATGAGAATATAACTGACTGTATCAGACCACTTAGGTATTCCGAATACGTACCAAGGGTCATTTCTCGTATAATAGGAACAGTTCTCCATTTCTCGCAGATACAAATAACTATTAACTATATCAACGCAATATACTTTACTCCGCAGACCTCCTACTTTGAATAAGCGTCGTAAAACTGTGGTCTCTTCTATATATCTATCTTTAAACTATAATTAAAAAAAGACGCTTGAAGCTCTTTTTAGTCAGTAGTTGGCTACCAATCAAGAAATTAATTAATACCCTTAAAATATTTGTTGACATGTAGTATCGAAAGCTTCTTGATGTCATATGAATTTTTGTTATGGCACGCGATGTATTCCCTTTTCTCTCTCTTTCGACTCTTCTTTCCTTCTCTCTCTTCATCACTCTTAATCCCTCTTCATATATCTCGTTTTCGTTTTCAATTGCGCCCTCTAGTTATTTACTAGGAGTCCTTTTCTGGAGATTATATTGTGTTCATTTTGTATTCGATCAACCAATGCTTCACTATACCCTGATGAATATTGAAGACTGATATCATAATCATGGTAATATCGATTGCAAATATGCATTCATCATATTTGAGTATCGGTTCTATATCTGTTTAAGACTGAATTGTTAATTGCACATGATTAAACTTTGAGTGGTTTACTTGATTATATAATTATTTAGTATTAATTAACTTGAGTGAATAAAACATTTTATGATAGATCACTGAACTCTTAAATCTCTTTTAACCCTTTAACACATATCATTTTATTATAAACGCGTAAAAACAGATCTAGGATATATTTTCTCATTTTTATAATAGATAATAACAACATTACAGCACTCGAAACGTATATTTCTAAGCTATATAGGATTGTGTACTAGTAAGTCATTTACTATTATTACCCCGACACTGTAGCCGAGCTGAACCCGATAAGGCGCTCTGACATTCTAAAGGATTTCTTCCTACCGGGTACCCATTTACATCACCTGGGTGGAGTGTGACCAAAGGACATGAGTGCATCGATGTGACTCGAATCGCAAACCATGTGATCCATAATCTGGAGACGTATCCGCTATGTCGATCGTGGCCGAGTGGTTTAAGGTGCTTGACTAGAGATGCGAAGGTCGAGGGTTCGAATCTCGAGAAGGCACTATAAACATCCTTCGGCAAGATATTAACCTGCACTTGCTACTCTCCATCCAGGTGTTAAAATGGGTACCCGGTAGGATGCGACCGTCATTGTTGGTCTAACAGTTTTTGAGCGTCATGTAACGCCTGGCTGGAATGATTCCCAGGGAGTGGAGATTGTGCACACAGTCTGCAAGTATTGAATCCAATGACCGGGGTAATAGCGTATCTGTAAAGCGCTTAGAGACATTTGTATTAATAAAGCGCTATACAAAAGCGAAATATTATTATTATTGTTAGACCACGAAACCTCTAAAAATTGTTTATGGAAATGTTATTTCCCATGTTCGAGCGTTTTACAATGAAAGACATTATTGATGGAGTTTATTATGAAGAAAAGCCATACACTTCGGTTGCTTTATTTTTTCGATTTTCTGCACAGTTGCTCGCTTGTCACCGTGCAATTTTGCACAAAACTCTAAGTACCAATTAACGGCAAGATTGTTTTGTGCAACACAATGGCTTTGCAAAGTTACCCTTTTCCTGTCTTCATAAACTCCATGACAACCCTTTTGATACCGGTTTAGATTGACTTGCACTGAAAACAATTAAATTATCTTGAAGCCTTTGGAAGATTTATACAATTTGGCACAATTTTTGTTTGGCATATCTGTGTGCTAAAGATCGATAAATTTGGTACCAACGACAGTATTCAATCTGTACATAGAAAATGTTTTATACAAAATTCTGATTTAAATTAAGTAACATCTAAATCCTGCATTGCGTAATTTGCATTGACTTAACTTTCAGTTTCGACGTTGATATGGAGAGGTAAAATAAAATAAGGTAAATGATCGACAGATTTTGGTTAATGTAAACAAAAACAAAAAAGATCAGAAGCCTTTTATCAATTACGATTTTAGTTATGATATCCTTTTCCTTTATGCAAAAAAAAAAGTTTTCAACATTCAACGTAATAATTTATTTATTTATTCATTAAATAATGAATTTTATACTTTTACAAAATAGCATTGTCAGTTAGATAAAGCTCGTCTTACAGATGCCATGTGGGCGGTATGAAAAGTTGTTCCACAAGTAGCTCAAAGTTTTTGTGCGGATCCTGATAGTCTTTCCGTATAGTTGACAATTTCACAGAACCTGAATTTAGTTTCATCAACACGTAAATACATTCTTGACAGCTTGGCGAAAACCGCTCCAGGGATCGCGCATTCGTTAAGGATCGCGCCATCACTCGGCTTAACGCTTATAGTCGGCGAATAACAAAATTTGATAAAAGGGTCCAGAACTAGACTACTTACTCCCCTGATATGAACCCTATTGAGCATGCCTGGGACGCCCCAGGCCGAGCCATCGATGACAAGGACAATATTCCTCAAACTCTGAGTGTTCGGAATAGAATAGAAGAAGAAAAGCAAATCTATTTTGATCACAGCATTTAGGAGAAAAGCCCCCTAAATTAGCCGAAAAGCTATGAACGATATAATTATTTGAGGGTAAACGAGAGTGAAGATGAACATCAATGAATACACATATAGGCTTCAAGTCACCTGTCTATAAAGAACACATTTATTTGTTCCCGAGAACTGTCTTTCTCATTGAATAATGAATTAAATGAACATGTACAGAAAGTCCACTTGCCTATGAAGATCACCGTTCCGTTCGTACTTGACTGGTCTTTAAGGTTTCAATGGACTAGAGTCACTAGATGAAACGGTTTTAGATCTTCTATCAATTATTTTAGTGGTATGTTATCCTATATTTCAAGTCGCAGTACACCTATCAACATAATTATATAGGTGTCCTCACTGTGGGGGGGGGGGTCGGGCAAATCGAGCCTAAATGTGTTATGTTTACATCTCATCTTCATCATACCAAATTAAAGTGTCTTTTTTTTTTTTTGCTTGCTTGGTCGAAAAACAGGAAGATTTGATATACGAACAAGGGGTGTAAGCCCCCTTTCCCCTCCATCGCGAAAATGTGCCTGTACTGATAAAAGGGTTTTATACGATTGTGTTTAAAGTGTTTTTGTGTGAATAAAATATGAACATAAGACAGTTTGTATTGTTCGATGGCATACTTCAGGTTTATTTTTCCAATACCTGAAGCAAAGATGTATGCTAGCAGCTATGGAGAAATACAAGTGTGTCTTTAACGAGTTCCAATGATAGACTCATATTGTTTCATGAGTATTTGCAATATTCTACTAATGTTTGAAAACAAGCTATACACAACACGCTATAGTAACAGAGTTCATTTTGTGGTAACTACACATCTTTGATTTGAATGAAATAGAATATGCGTAAACAAATAGACTCATAATGTTTCATGACTATTTGCAATATTCTACTATACAGTGCGTCCAAGAAAAAACGAAACCGAGAATTATCGATGTTTTATCATAACAATTAAAATTTATCAATGACACAGATTTGGAAAACTGAGATCCTCCTCTTTCATTTGATGCAACTCAACCAAACGAAGTTAAGTTCTTTGTCAATTCTGCTTGTTGCTACGGCAGGCAGACATTGAATAAGAATTCGTTTGATAAAATTATGGAAATGCAAGCACTACTTTAAACAAACAGAACTTTGTTATTCATTGCTCATTTTTCCTGATTGAGGTGTAATGGGCAGAAACTCAACTTTCTAGAAATGTGATTTTCTCTTTAAACTTCAGATCCGTCCGCCAAATAACTTTTTGGTTTCCTCTTTTTAAATTAATTTAATCACTCATTCCTTCTGAATTTGGAGTCAGCAGGGCGGTATTCCGCATGTTTTTAACTTGGAATATGCATCATATGAGTTGCATCAAATGAAAGAGGAAGATCTAAGCTTTCCAAATCTGTGTCATTTATTAATTATAAATGTGACTAAGTTATGATAAAACATCGATAATTCTCGGTTTCGTTTTTTCTGGGACGCACTGTATAGTGTTAGAAAACAAGATACATAACACGCTAACAAAGTTCATTTGGTGGTAACTATTCAGCTTTGGTTTGAATGAAATAGAATATGCGCAAACAAGTGCAATAAAGAAGGGCAAATTAAATTTAGTCAGACGTATCCTTGACAGTAACATGAAAGCACACAATAATTAATTTTTTATCATGACATGTGTTGGCACTGACCTAGTACATGACCAGACATTTTTGGTAGTCTCATCAGCGCCTTTGACTAGATATCGACGCTCTATAAATACCTGGATTGGATTGGATTGGATTCATTGCGCTCTTATTTTTCATCACCTGCATGCATGATTCAACGAGACTCAAATTTACTCTAGGGAAAATGTAAGTAATATTCATTTTTCAAAAACCTTTACTTCGCTCTTCTTACGAAGGTAAGAATACTTTTCTTTCATTTGTAGGACATGTATAAAAGTGCATTTATATAAAAATCGGATAAAATCGGATAAAACCACTACAGATGATCAATTGGTCAGATGATCAAATCTTATAAATTGACTGCATCCATTGATGAAAAGGAGAAGGTAATGGATGAAAGCTTGTTGATATATGGCATCTGTGTCCAACGATGGAGAGAATGGTCTCGTAGACCTGGAGAGAGACCTGCTTAACTTTGGAGATCTATGCTACACAGGCTATTATCTCGTACAATGTTCTCAGTGTGTAAATGACCCTAAACTCCCCTTTTAAAAGAGAAGTCGAGTTCTGGGAAGAATTACAAAATAATTTGTGAGCGTTATCATTGTATTATGCAAGTGTGGAAGAACATCAGATTAAAAAAAATTCCTTGAAAAGCATGGCTCTTCAAATGCCTCAATATTCTAAATATGGCATGTAACAGCATAAAAAGCGGGACGGATCTTATGCCACATGTTCGT